GGGGCAGGTTTAGTTCCTGGAGTGTTTCCCTGTGTAAGGGAGTGGATGGTGGGTACAATCCCTGTGCTGTGGACGGAAGCTTTGAAGGAACCGATGGCTGAGAAGTGGCGTGGAAGGAAAGAATGGGGAAAATGATCTGCTGTTTGCCTCTGAGCATCTGACTCGTGAGAGGACACTGCAGACTAAAGACATTTCTTATAAAACAACAGACCTCCTCCCTGTATCACTCCTGCTCATTAGTCCAGACAGTACTGGGTCAGCCACATCGGGTGCATTTCTTTTTTTCTTCCCTATTTCTGTGTGGCTGACGTGATGGGAAAGCAAGTGGAACTCATGATCCAGAGCTGGAGTTTCGCTGTCCACAGACCTTTTGTGCATCATCTGCCTCTTCAGCTGGACATGTGGACGATGATGGTGTAGATGCTGCTGCTACTGCAGGGGTCCCGCCTGTTTTCTTGCCCTGCCCACCACACCCCAGCACGGAGGGACAACCAGAGAGGCGCCATGTACAGAACCGCATCTATTTCTGCTTTGTTTTCTGACTCACAACCCTGCCCCAGTGACTACGACAACAACAACAACAACAAAAAAAAAGGGCAAATGCATTTTTTACATTTCTTGATAATTTCCAAAGCAATGTATCATTGCTTTCTTTAGACTGACGCCAATATAACAGTTGTATGGGTCTCAGCCAGGCTCCTGTGTCTTTTCTGCCTGAGTTTCAGATTGCTGTATGAAATGTATGCGCGTTTGCACACAGACACAGCCAGACGAGGTGGCAGCACCCCGAGCCCGTGGGGTCGGTCACCTGTGTCACAGATGGAGTTGGAGGCCTTGCTTTGTGTGAGTAGATGAGAAACCCCAACCCACTGGTCCAGGGAGCTGAAGTGAAGCAGCCCTACTGAGACAGAACTGAGTATCCTGAGATACTTCCATGGTCCTGCTGTGACTGTCCCCACAGCAGGGGCACTGGGGGGGAGAGGAACACTGAATGGGGAATTTGGAGCACAACAATATTGAAGTAGAATCCAGTCAGGGGTTTCTGGTAGCAGTGAGATTTTATCAGTTCTCATAATGAAAACTGTAGTGCATATAAAGAAAACATTTCAGGCCATCAGAAGCCCCAATTCCCATCTTGTTAACGTGAGGCTGGAGGGCATTAGAGGCCAAGGAGGTTGTATTGATGCAAAGGATGTGGAAGACAGAATTGGGCCCTGAAAAATTTAATTACATCTTTCCCCCATTTATTTTCTTCTTCAAAGGACTCTAAGAAATACAATTCTCAATAGCTGCACAGGGTTTCTTTTTTTCTTCTTTTGAATGTTGTGAAACTTTAATAAAAATTTTACTCTGGGTGAGCAAGCCCAGGGATCCAGAAAGTTTCTAATGGGATCTTAGTCCGTGGAGCTTTTATCTCTGTTCCTGCTTTGTTTCTGGAAAGCTGAAACCACTCTGGCCTTGCTGCTACAGCTCCCTGAGGTTGGGTGGGTGAGGGCAGAAGCACAGCAGGAGATATGTCCTGTTCTGAAGACAGATTGGGCTCCAATGGCTTTCAGAAAACTCAGTAGCATGACACTGGAATGGGAAAAAAAACCCCTCTTCTGATACAAACTTTAGTGTTCTACTTAAATTCTCCATTCTTCTCCTCCCCCTTACAGGGAACTTAACACTTGAGCATAAAAACCAGGCCTTCTTTAGGGGCACAAGGCTCGACTCAGTTGCCTCAGCGTGGGTGTCCACTGTCATTTGAGATACCCTACAGCATCCTCTGCCAGGTCTGCCGCAGCTGGTGGGGAGAGGCTCAGCTCCCAGCCCCAGAGGACGGCAGAGATCTCAGGTGGCAGGGGACAATTAGGCAACTTAATCAAGTCCCTTTCTAAAGGGCTAATTGAGAGGAGCAGCACCAATGACTGATGTAATGAGGGAATCTTCATTAGCATTACCAAGGGCTTAGTTAGGCAGGATCAGGAGCTTGTCTCCACACTCCCATGCTGTTGTTTTTCTACCCCATGTCAGGCACTTTGCCTCCACTCCTGCGGCCTGAAGTTGCCTCTGCCTGGTCCTTTCCTTAGGCCAGGATTAGCGGCTGCATCCCAGGCCCAGGGGAGCTGGGACAGGCCCAGGCAAGAGCAGGCGTCACTCCACTCAACCACAGATTTTTCTGCCAGCCTTCCAACAGCCCCTTTCCAAAGCTTTTTCCTAATTGAGACAGAACCACAAACTCAGACACCATTTGCTGGCATCATCATTCAGGTGATTAAATACCTGTGTTTTTCTGTTAGTTCTTTCCTAATTAGGCTGAAATGCTTTCAGTATTTTAAGCATCCTAAGTCAGTCTGTTCCCATCTCAAGCACCTAGGTAGACTGGCAGCCAATACTATCTAAGCATCATCAACTTTATGATTGCTCATAGAAATGATTGTTTCAAGCTTATTTAGTCTTAACAGTTTGAATGTGGGAAGATTTTGGAGGAGGAGGAGTGACATTGTAAATATCTCTGACAAACATTGCTGCATCACACACAAAAAAAAAGGGGAGATACTTATAAAACTGCCTTAAAAATCAATTCCGAATGATGAATCTCCCTCCAAACAATTGCCGCTTGACAGAGCAAGGGATGAGTCACTTTGGGTGAATTCTGGCAAGGAGTGGTTGGAATCTAGTCCGGTTTCTGGAGCAAAAGTGTAATTTAGGAGCTGATCTCTCACTCAGTCTGAATTCACATCAGCACCAAGGACTGAGCACTGCAGGATGCAAAGGCTTTAAGGTCTGGGGGTACTGTCTGTGCACGGTTTGGGTCTGGCCCGGCAGGTACTGCGTGTCTCCCAGTGACTTCAGGGAAGATGGGGTTCCTCAGCACCTCTTAAGTTCAGGCCCTGGAGCACCATTTCCTGCTCTGATCATCAGCTATAAATGTTGATAAATATAAGTGTTTTGCCTTCATTTGAATTGCCCAGAGCTGTAAAATGACCTCTCTCAAGTATAAATCAGTCCAGATATAAACCTCCTCTCCTACTCTTCCCTACGCTCCCTGCCCACCTTCCCAGCCCTCCCTTGCACCTCCACCCAAGCCCTTCCCTGTCTCAATTCTTTACCTCCTTCCACACTTTTATATCTAGTTTTCATGAACCCACAGAAATGCTTTTGTAAATACTGCTGTACAGTTTGTAACCGTCATGTAAGCCTGTCATCAGTGCCAGAGTCCGTCTTGCCCTCTCGCACGTTTTAAAATCAACAGAGGAAAGTTAGAGCGAATGGCCCGCCAGTGAGCTATAGGGTCATCTCTGTGTGGGACAAATGTATATTCCTGTAAGATTGCATTTTTATCTAAGGAATGATGTTATTTTAAAATTGCTAATAAATTTCTAAACAATGTCCAGATTTGTTCAATATTGTAAATGGTATCAAAACTCCTTTGACATGGCTCCCTCCTACCAGCAGTGGCTGAAAATTAAAGACAGCTTCCTGCAGCCCCTTATTTCCCATCGGTGGCCCTGCTGCCAGTCAGGGGCTCTTGTCCCTATTTAAGGGGCTGCAGACAGCCCCAGCCTGCCCCACTAAACAGCAGCTTAGGAAATCCAGCTGCTGTTGCACTGCTGTCACCACAGAAACCCTGCCGTGTCACGATGTCCAACGTGTGACTCATGTGCAACCACACACTTAACATTTTCTCTACTGGATTCCTTCTTACCAAGCACATGCAACAGAAAATGAATGCCCTCAGCTTAAATACAGTGTAATTAGTATATACATAAGCCATGAAGCTAATGGGATGATAACAAGTAGCGTTCCACACATTTGCTTGTCGATTGAGCAAATTTGTTCTACCACGGTTATCAGGAAATGACACCGCAATGCCAGCTGAGCACTGTGTTTGTGCTGCAGCATTATAAATCAGTGTGCTCAGCCCAAGTACATCAGCCTAAGATTCAGTAAAATAATGCCTAAAGAAAAAAGAACAGGGTTTTTTCAGCTACACGTGTATATATAAATATTTTTCCCTGACTTGCACACAACTGTCAGAACTGCAGGCTCTGCTGTTACTATTAAATCGTGGTGGCACAAAACGTTAAAAGCCCAGAGGTGATGAAAACCTGTAGGTGTCATCAGTGCAGGGCAGGAGGCTCCCCAACAGAAACTTCAGTATCTGCAGGCTCAGACTGCAGTTAGATACTTGCCACCACAAAACCATAGGAAACCACCGTGCTCACGGCCCTTGGTCAAAGCCCAGCAAAGAGCTTTGCTGGAAAACTCCCTGAGCTGGCAACTCAGCTGAGTTACAGCTCTGTGTGAGACCATTAGGTGAAATCCATGGCAAAGAACAGGTGAAGGTGGCTGTGGGTGCGCTGCAGTGTGAAAACAGTGAGAAACCTGGTGTGAAACCTGTGAGACAGCTGAAACGGGGAGAGCCTCGGGAACGAGTAACAGGTTTGCAGAGTTCCCTGCGAAGTGGGCGCTTAGAACAGCCCCATAATTGGAAAGGCAGAGCATACACAAAAAGAATGCTTTTTGTTCGGCAGCGGCAGAGCGCTGCTGATGTCAGTTTTTAATGCTCACTGCATTTACCCGAAGCCAGAGACGAGCACTGGGAGTTCCACCTCAGCACGAGGAAGAACTTCTTTACATCCAGGCTGGCAGAGCCCTGGAACAGCTGCCCAGGGAGGCCGTGGAGTCTCCCTCTCTGGAGACATCCCGAACCCACCCGGACGCGTTCCGGAGTCACCTGCTCCGGGTGACTCTGCCCTGGCAGCGGTGTTGGAAGGGATGATCTCCCTTCCAACCCCGGCGATTCTGCGACGAGCACGCAGACCTCGGAACCCACCGACATGGGAACAGGACGACGACCCGCAGGTCGAACCAGGTTTGGCTCTTTAACCCCAAGCTCAGCCCACGGACGGCGCTGTGCCCAGCGGGGAGGAGCCGCTCGGCGCTCCCGCAGCCCGGCCCGGCCCGGCCCGGCCCAGCCGCGC